CATTCTCTTATTATATTCTTATATATTTTTATTATATTGCTGCATTTGCTGCTTAAAGTGCCTTAGATTTTATTTATCTACTTTATATTTCATTTGCATTTTGTGGCATTCATGTGGACGGCAAAGGAAGAATTTCATTGTACAGGGAAACACGTTTCCTAACTGAGCATATGACAAATAAACACTGACTTTGAATGATGGGTAAAAAAGAAGAGGAGGGTGAAAATAAAGGTGAATGACAGTTTAACAATGGAGGGAATGTAAAAAGAGATCTTAAAAACCCTAAAGGTGCCTGTCTGTGCAGAATCCTCACCTTGAGCCCTTGGGTTTACTCAGAACTAAAAACTAATTGTGGTTCAAATACGCCCTGTCCATCATTAATTGTTCATTTTACCATGAAATGAAACATACAACTTTAGGTTTACCTTGTTGACCTTCAGTAGGCATTCTTCAGCTGTCTTCCTGTTGCAGTCTCCAGCAAACCAGTCCTTATCCTGGGTAGTTTCACATATTTATAAATAAATGTTCTTTATACCAGTGCTCACTAACTGATGCTTGATTTTCTGTGTGGAGCCATACCTCATTCCCAGATTGTTTGGTTGCCTTCATACCACCAGGGGAAGCTGAAAACAGACATGTCAGGTGTCAAGTACAAGTTTGGGAAATTAGAATTTGGCAGTTGTCAGATGGTTTGACTATAACTGATCTGATGTTTGGATTACAATAAAGGAGGGATCACAGTCATTCCTGGGGATTAAAAAAAATGTCTTTTTGAAAAACATGAGCTTACCCACAGGCTTAGTGTCTGCCACAGGGGATTTTGCAGGGCTGGGGTAAAGACAGGAATGTATCCACTGAATTGGATTTGAATGCATGCATGTACTTTCAGATGGGGTCAGTCATAAAAACACGCTAAAGATGAATGAAAATCATTTCAGTTTTATCACTTTTAATGTGCATTCTTTACCTCTTACCTGGGCTTAGCTTTGTGGTTTGTGGGCAGAGGAGGCTTAACACTGGGAGGTGGTGGTGGGCATTTGGTAGGAAAGGTGATATGTTGAAGTGAAGAAGCTATAGAAGCAAAAAAAATGTGTTCTTTAGCGTCATGGTCATTTATTTTGGATGTATTGTGTACTGATATTTGATCCTTTTTTTTAAGTGACATTTACCCGTTTTTAGCACATTCGAGAAAGGCAAAAACGAATTCTGAAAGGGAGAAAATAAATGTTACTGCTGTGTCAGCATTGATTTTGATTTCCTATGCTGGAAATGGAAAGAATGAAAACTTTAATTTCTAAGTCAGTGTCTAATTTAGGACAGAGCATGAGGAAACAATAAGACGATTAATTTCTAAGTCAGTGTCTAATTTAGAACAGAGCATGAGGAAACAATAAGACTGAGCACGGATATGACCAGGGATACTCACAGACTTAGCCCTGGGGACTGGAGGCTTCACCCTGCAGATACAGAGAATTTTAATTTCATTGCATGTTTAGTAACATGAGCTCACTGTATGATACCACTACTATATCTAGCACATTTACATTTTGATGCAAAAACAAAGTAGCATCATTGTCCGATAGGACACAGAGTATGAAGCTATGCAGACAGATTATATCACAGGCCGCTTCACATTGGTGCATATTGCCATGCTCTGGTTGCTGAAAGCTGCTTTGACTCAGGGTGAGGTGCACCTACATGGGTAAGGGAGCAGGAGCAAATGTTGTCTCGGGAGATGGAGGCATCCGCGTTGGCATAAATTGAGGAGGAGAGCAAGCTGAGGAGCAGCAAGAAAGGAAATCATACATTTTAGCTCCCTTTTGATCATCTGGTAACAATCAGATTGTCTTTCACTTAACAATTTAAAGTAGTTCAACTATTGTGTTGGATGATTAAGCAATTTAATTTCCCTTAACATCCTAGAGCAAGTTCGACCTACCTGCTGATGGCTCTAAATACACGTTGTCATTATCCTGAAAAACACAATGGCATTACTGTGATTATACTGTATGTTAATATGCATAGGAGCATATTATCAATACAGAAATGTCAAAAGTTGAGTAAACACTGCTAGTAAACAGACTCCCTCCTCAGGGTCTGGGAGCTGTTCAGGAAGGGACCATGCAGTGGGTCAGCTCTCTCCTTCTGTTTGTGGATGACTCAGAGCTGCACAGTACCCATAACTATAATGCGATAGGGACAGTGGTTCAAGACAGATACACTGCCAGTACCCTGCTGGCCTTTATTAGTCATTTGTTTATATGCTTTTTTCTCCCCCACACCTACTCATAGCTTGCTGCCTAAAAAATGCCTTCATAGGCAGTTTTATCTGAATGCCAATGCTTACCAAGTTATGTAGCCACCTTCCCTGATTATCTAATCCTACAAATAGCCACTAATTACAGCATCAACTGCTTTGGTATAATAAACTTTTCCACACAAGACTCAAGTCCCTTAACTCATCACACAAAAGAAAACAATGAAGTGAGTTAAACTCACCTGTTCTTGATTTGGATCCAGATACACATCTGTTATACAGAGAAAAATACTAGCAGTGATCTATGTTTTTTATCATACAGTGTTGTGGTGATGGGGAAAGACCCCAAAGATTGTTTGTACATAACCAGAATATGAGATAGTTAACAGTACTTTTGTTCTGTCTGTGCACTTTTCTAATATTTTCTTTGTGATTGGTAGATTATTAGAAGATTATAGGTGCTCAAGAATTGTGTAATACAGAGATGTATTAATCTGAATGCATGACCATTGTAGCACATGTATTCAAGCAGAACCTCGTTGGCCTGACATTCTGGAGAAGTCAGAAGATGTGGGAATAATTGTTAAGGTGAGACTAGTGGCAACATTGCTAGCACCACGTGATGATTGGCACATCAGATTCTTTACAATCAGTTTGCTAATGAATTTGAGTTTCAGAGAACCTTAAGGTGCAGCTCAGTGACTCTACAGCAGGTGGCACTGTTTTTGCCTGGGTCATGGTGGCAATCTGATGCCTGACTTACACTGACTAGTTTTGCTTGCATTTATTTATTCCAAACAAATTGCTGTTGCTGTTGGAAACAAAATATTTATCCTGGGAAGGGTCTATGAAACTGCAGGTGTGCAGGAATAGTAAATGAGAAAACTTTACGACCTAGTCTGCCAAATGACAATTTCTATAAATAGCAGGTGACTAATAAATCAAATATTACCTTAATAAGTATTTACCTTTCTGCCAGTCAGTCATTTACAAGCTGGTGAACTAATACTATGAAAGGCTTATTTGTGTTGGTAGAAGTGATTTCTCCACCTTCTTCAGTGCTGGATGCAGCGACTGGAGGAGCAGCAGACCTGACGAATAATGCAGACATCACCTTCTTTCTTCCAGGCTTCTCATTTCGGTTTATCGCCGGTGCTGGGAGAGAGAATAGTGTAGCTGTGCCGCATTGAAAGAAAGGGTTAAAGATATGACAAGAAGGGGTTTGTATAATAAATGAACCAAATCAGCACATGCACCATTTATATAGTTTATGCAAATGATACAGACTCACATTTCTTGGCATTGGGTTCGCAGTTTTGAACGCCAGCATGTTGTTGAGGTTTCTGGATAACAGGTTGTTTGATTAAAAGAAGTAACATCTTATACTGTTTAAAATGTTTTAACAGCTGCAGAGACATATGTTACCAAGGGATTTCCCAGCCTGGGTGGTGGCGCAGCCTGTCTCTGTAGAACAGGAAGACTGGATGTCATCCCTGGAAAAAAGTAGCACTAATTAAAGTATTAGATTAGCTTTATATTGCCTTATATATCAGTGCTGAACTATTATACTTTAACACCATGTGCAGTAATGGCTTGGTGCAGTGCTGTCACTGTACCCAAATAAATGTTCTCCTCCACTTCGCTTTGTGTGATTTTCACAGGAGGACAGTCACAGGGAGGTGGTTCATACATGTCGTCATCGTCATCATCGTCATCATCATCATCATCATCATCATCCTGCTGCAAGAATATATTTGTTATGGCTGGCATTAGGGGGACCTAAATGTAGACTCAGACCAGAGCTTGGCAACAAAACCAAGTTTAATGAAAATAGACAAAAGGCTAGAGAACACAAAACCTAAAGTTTGACAACCATCCATATGGACACAATAAGCTACACAGTCAGGGATTGACCTTATGAAACTGAGAAGTTAAGTAACAGAACTACTGTAACAAAGGATAAGAACAAGGAAAGTCACAGACCAAAAACAAGAGGGAACAAAACCTGAGTCCATATAGACAAAGCCCAAAACCAAGGACAAGACATGAAGGGTGAATAACCGGTCAGAGAAGCACAAGCAAAACACTGAGAAGAGTACAGGATGAACCAACAAACCCAACTGAGGGAATTAGGGTGATTAGAAGGGCTGAACCAGGGAAGCAAAAAAGTAACAAGTGAAAACAATGAGGGCAATCAATGACAGTGCAATGCTGGGGCAGACAGGAAATGACCACAAAATAAAAGCATAACACAGAACACAGGAAGCTGACACAAAACCATAACATTATTATTACACAACTGGTTTAAAGGCCCATGTATATGACTTTTTAACTAAATTTATTCTAATATGTTAGTACTGGTCGTTTCAGTCAAATGAGACCATGGCTAATAGGGCTCAAAGCTTTATCTCAGCGTTGTACAGTACATGTGCTGAGCAGTGTACAACTCAAAAAGAATCAATTGACCATGTGATATTTTGGTTATCTCTGTAGTTATTTTGTGTAGCTTTGGAGTATTTTCAGTCTCTTTTGTAGGTGTTTGAATGATCTTCCAACAAGATATATTAACATAGGTCCCTGGACCCCTTGGGCCCCTGGGTAAGCCTGTTCATTAATCTTTCCCTGATGATGAATATGGTAACAATATCATAGGAATAACATACAGATGTTTTAAAATACCACATGGAGTACCTTTAATAATATGTGGATAAAACCTATAAAAACACAAATGCTCTTACAAACTCATCCTGTGGCCAACCAAAGTCTGCATTGTTATCTGAAACAAAAAGTTAAATTTAGGAAGGATGGCGGAATAAGAGTCTGGAAAGAAGCAAAGACATGAATAATCAAAACATTTCTCTCATCATTCAATAATGAATGAATTCAAGGTGAGGTTAACTCTTACCTGGCCTTCTGGGTGGAGCTGGAGGTCCACTGTGTCTGACGGGGAGATGAGCAGTGAGAGGCTGCAGTACCACTCATTGTATTTTATGTGTAATACAGTAACATTGAAACCAGGAAGGCTTTACTACTGGTTTTACAATACTTACGGGTTTTTCATTTGTCCAAAAAAGCTCTGAAACAGAGAAAGCTCAGATTAGTATTCAGAGATTTAGCACCAACAAGACACCCATGCATGCCTGGTAATCATTTACTTTTAGTTATCTATCAGCGTCATGGTCAAGCCTGAGTCAGTGGATGCTTTTTGGTGAATGTCACACACTGACAGTGAAGCTGTATTTGGCATATGAGGGAGTTTACTACAATAAAAAGAACTCCTAAGTATTACTGTAGGTAAAATTTAATTTTATCATACTATGTAACATTTTAAGCAACATTCAAACATTTGATTAATAGTTTATACCACACCTTATCACATATTGTAGTAGTAGATGGAAACTAAGCACTTGTACTTTATTTTACTGTGCTACTGTAATCTTCTGCTCTTCTAGAGTTCAAATGGAAATATTGTGCTTTTTACTCCACTACCTTTATTTAATAACCATATTAGTGATTAGTGACTTTGTAGATTCAGATGAACACATGTGACATCTAATCAAAACTATATTAAACTGTTTTATTGAGCTAAGACTTTATTGACCTCGGGGATAAATTCATAAGCTTGCCCAGCTAATGTACACATGAGTGCATATTAATTAATGACATCTTATGACATTACATAGATAATTCTGAGATACTAATACTTCTGTAAATATACTTCAGTAATAATCTGAATGCATGACCATTGTAACACAGTAATTCTATACTTTGTTATTACTACATTTACTTCAGTAAAATGGCTGAGTACTTTTGCCACCACTGGTTATTTATTTATAATGTGTTTCATTATTTTCACTGTAACTTATTTTGTCCTCGTGAATTTAGTCTCTAAGAATTTTTGCTGCAGTTACTTCAAAATCGATGCCATTTTGAAGCAGAAATTCATTAATATTATCATTTAAATCAAAGAAAAGTTTGACTGCAGAGATGTGAGGTTGAAATAAGCATGCACACATCAAGTGAAATCAGGAAGTGGAATGACAGTATCTTTTTTCCCGTAGTGCCAGGTGGCCATAGAGGAAGTTTTGATGTAAAGTAAATGATTATAGATGGACAGAAAGAGTGATTATCTGTTTTTCCATCGTGCGAGATGGCCGTAGAGGAAGTTCTGATGTAAAGTAAATGATTATAGATGGACAGAAAGAGTGAGAGGGAGGGACTACAGGTTTCGGTATCGGAAAACAGTTAATTTTCTGTTGATGCATGAGGATCAGGTGAAAGGTGAAAAAACAGAAGTGCATTATTGTTCTCTTTGTCATCTGATCTTGACTCACACAGAAAAATATTTGCATTTTAAGAGTTGTTACAGTTACAGTGCTGTTCTTTGTGTCAACCACAGTGACAGTGCTGAACGCTGCTCCTACTTCTCTCTATTGTCTCAGTGAAAAGTGTTGTCATGACTCAGAAAGTGAACAGCAGGAAAAAGGAAAGTGTAGCCATGAAGTGAAATCTGATGAGTATCAGTCAAATGTTTGATAATAATGTTTGTGTCTTAGCACACATGTATGCCATGACTGTATCAAATGCTAATACACTACTTTTTCATTTTTGGTTAAGAGTTGACCACAGCTGGCCAAACAGATTGTGTCCACACTGTCTGCTCTACCTTTCCTACACTAGTTTGAGTGTATTTACACACCACAGCCTCTATTTTTTAATGTCTGCTCTCAACTTATGAACATACAAGGAACTCCTCCAACCTCAAACCATTTATCTGCATGAACTGTTGGTACTAGATGAATTGAAATTTAACTTAGACCTGCAAAATGGATCTTCACAGACTGTATAGTTTTGTGTTACCAAACCCCACCTGAGAAATCAGTTTTACTCATCAATACACACTTTTTACACAACAGTATCTGTGATATAGATTTCATGTTACCAAATAGAGTAAATAATGAAAACTACATGAGCAAAAATGTCATGTTTGGACATAATTTCACTGTGAAATAAATTATAAATTTTTCCGTGATGGTTACAAATGTCTCTGCAATGTACAACAAAATTAAAACTATACAAAAAGATCATCATTACAAGTTAAAATAAACCAGCTCCTCTCTGAATCAAACACAGACAGTCTTTTTTGTTATACATTAACTTGTCTGTGCCTGAATTCCAGCACTATCTCTGAGTGAACAACATCACCTTTCATACCACCACATGGTAATGTTTACTGCAAAGACGTCTGATATGTATTATGTGAAAGTGATAGCAGCAAGAAAAGTGTCTAAGTTTTGAATAGAAGTACAGTGAAAATCCCACAAGTAGAAGCTAAATATGAAGGCTGGCAGGATACATACGAGTGCTGTTTGTAGTAGTGATGCTACCAGAAATACTGTATGTATATCAATCTAACTTTTTTTTATATGCTATTGTTTTTTAGAGTTTTAAATCTATATGAATTTGATATCTACAAAATGTTTAAGCCCTAACATTTGATCAAAAAACAGATAATATTTCATATAAATCTCACAGAAAACTTCAAAATGAATAATGCATGCATCAAAAATAGCACCTATATTATTTGTGGTTCACTTTTGTAATCAAATTCTAATAAATAACACAGCAACATGTTTCAAATCTAATAATAAACTCAAGTCAGTTATTCAGCTAAGAAACTAACTTTACGGTAGACTGTTTTGACAAAGTTTAACAAACGTGTTTCATCTTTCAGAGAACTTTCTTCATTGGTAAAGCTCATTAATTATATTAGGTCTGGTATTTACTTTCAGGTTATCTGCAAGCATTAGATGTCTGGGTTGTTTTTAATGATTCCTTTGCACCCACACACACACACAACTTTAACAGTGCAGCTGCCATCATATCTTTCATGAATTCAGAACTCCAAAAGAAAAATTCCTGAACTTAAAGTAGCGATTTAAAAGGAGCACCCAGTTGTTACGGCACTAAAACTGCCATCAACAGCACTTGTTTACTTCCTTCTCATTCCGCCCAGGTTTATCAGACTGTAAATATGAACATTAATAAGGCAAAAATAAAATGACAAAATAATACTGTACCATTATTTTCATTGGGGGTTGAGTCCCACAGCTCAAGTCATGAGGAAATATCCTTGTTTCAGGTTTTGAATGCAGACAATTTTAAAAACTGAAAGTGAGTGATGCAGACAGAATGTGCAGAGCAGCTCTAACTGATCTCATTTGCATTTCCTACCTGTGTCAGACAGACAGACTCGCCTGCTCCTCGACTGTCTGCTTTTAAATGAGCTGCACTCAAACATGGCTCCAAATTTCTCAGCTGTTGCCTGTTAATTGTCATATAACCACCTGAATTGGATATAATTTGCTGCAACTGATAAAAAGTGTTTCATCTGCCACCACACACCAGTGGCGCTATCAGTAAGTAGTCTTTAAGATAGGACAACATTGAAACAAGGTATAAAAAATATAGTACAGTAAGAAGTGCTTTGAAGATTAGATGACTCCTTTATAAGGCAAGGCAGCTTTATTTATATAGCTCATTTTAAACACAGCGGTATGGCAGAGGATTAGGGCCACTGCATAAAACGTTTTTGAATTCTGACTTTAATCTCAGAAGTATGGGTACCTGTAGGGATCCAAGTTCAGTGAGTGCCTTTGAGTCATGCTGGAGAGGAGCTACATGCTGCCCAGAAAATGTCGAATTTAAGTGAATTTTTGCGTGGTCGAGGAGTCCCAGAAGAAGCAATTTCATTAATGGAAGAGGAAAAGGTGAGTAAAAAGACTCATGTGTTACTTTACTGTCTGCCGTTTGTGAATCTGCCCCTGGTACTCCGCCACACACCCACACCCAGTGTGTGACACTTTACCCCAATTTGAGAATAAATAGCTGAGAATAAAGTCAGAATTTAAAAAAAAAATTATGCAGTGGCCCTAATACTCTTCCGTAGATGAATGAAGTCTATTTTATGAAAATTAAAAATAAATATTAAAGGTCACAACATCTTTCTTCTTGTTTATAATTGTTGCATTCATTTTAATAAGAAATGCAGAAAATACTCCATTAATGTTCATGTGAGATATAGGTAAAGGTTGAAACAAAAAGGTTATAATGATTTTAAAAAGCAACATTAACTCAAATAATACCAAGAAAGAATCTTCAGCTCAGAGTTTCATCAGGAAGTTTCATGGAATGCATTGCCCCTTTATATTAGACAGGCCCCCTCGTTGTCCACTTTTAAAACCTATTTGACGACTCATCTGTACCGTCTGGCGTTCAAACCAGTATGATCCTGTGTCTTGTTGAGCTTGTGATTTATGATGGGGCGTTGTTTTAAATATGATGTTTTTGTTTTGCTGTTTGTTTATGTTGTTTTTTAAGGGGTCTTGTGGATATTGTGTTAAGCACTTTGGTCAGCTTCGGCTGTGTTAAATGTGCTATATAAATAAAGTTGATGATGATGATGATGATCAGTCATGATCCAGGAATAGGGGTGATGAAACTTAATTTCATTTAGCATCTAATAAACTAATAGTCTTTTTGCAATACCTCAGTCATCCCTAAGATCATGGTGGAACTAATGATGACAATAACATACCACAACAAGGTCAAAAGGTATGAACATAAAAAGATTTATTTCAAATAATTCTGACAAAGGAGTATGTGGCCAAATTGGGTATAATGACACTGACAATAAATTATTAAGCTAGTGTACACACATAACATATTAAAGTTTCACCAAATAATATAAAATACACATAAATATTAACTTAGTACAAAACATCTAAACCCAGTTTCTCTTGAGAGCTTTTCACAGAAGTGAAGTGAGTTAGTCAAGCTGCGCGGTTAATAAGCAAGTTAAATGTACCACCAACCCCCCCACACACACACACACACACCCACACACACACACACACACACACACACACTCATTTACAATATAAAAACCGACAGTACAGTGTAAATGTTATGTACATGCTGGGTTCAACCCTAGTGTCTGAGGGAGAAGTCCTCTGGAAATCTGGCACAAAAATAGTGAGAACAAGTGAGATTTTGTGCTTTCTCTATAACAGTGATTAAGGAACAAGTCATGGGTTTTTTTTAATGGAGCCTTCCTACTTCCACCTGTCCAAATTCACTCCCATCTGCAAGGCGGCAGGAAGCAGTAGAACAGCAAACTGCAAAAACAAGTAGAATCTGAACCAGCAGATACAGTCGGTTTGTAGTGTGATTGAAAGCCTCAAACTTCTCAAGCCCCAAAGTAAGCAAATGCTGAGCATTTTGCATTAAAATGACTTAAGCCAACAGAACATCATATCTAGAAGATAGGTTTGTAACACAATCTTTGCAAAATATATTTAAAAATGTCATTTGGAGTAGCAAAACTGTCTCTGTGGCTAACTGTCATGTGCAAAGTAAATGATGCATGACTGCTCTTTTGGATTAATGGTGCTACTGATCTATAAAGTCTGCCTCTGTGACTTCTTCCTATAAACCAGCATAAAGCCAGCCAGAGAGACAAAGCAATATACTCATATTTTATATTTTATATTTCTCTGTTAGTTCACTGCATGAGCCTCCAGTCTGGTGGAAACAGTGCTGAGCAAACACATGAAAACTTATGTGCACGAAAAGACAAAAATATTATCGAGCTCTACCTGGCCCGGAAGGAGGAAAAAGAGTTTGCACTGTGTTTCTGTCTATGTACTGTCACATGTGACACAGTAAGGAACAGAAAACTTGAGAACACTGAGGATGAAAAGTCCTTCTTGTACATCTCTGTATGACTGATCCTCCATCAGTTTAGATCAACACATAAAAAAAGCTGTGAATAGAATCTAAGCCCTGTTGATCTCTGTGTCTTCTTGTAGCATACTCTCATTGATAAACAACCGTTTCAAATACTTTACCCACTGTGTTTATGGGTATAGTCATCAAGCAACATTGTCTTCGCATTGTCTCTTGCTTTAGACTGGGTTTGCCTTCATTTTTCCATTGATCCAGTCAATGTAATTGGTGACACGAGTGTAGACCCCAGGCTTATCCCTCTGCCCGCACCCATCGCCCCAGCTAATCACACCCATTAGAGTCATGCTGTCTTTGTTTCGACAGACGAGTGGGCCACCAGAATCTCCCTATGGGTGAAATTCAAGAAGTAAAATACAGAGAAAGAAAGGCAAGTTTAGATCAAGTAATTTTTTCAGCACTGATTTAATAATTAGGTGTTATAATCAGGCATTCTCACCTTGCAGGCATCATCCAGGCCGCGGGTGTCACCTGCACACAGCATGTTGGAGGTAACTGGGTGCCCAGACAGCACATCTGAGACGCAGCGCTCATTGGGCCAAAGGCGAACGTAACCTCTCTTAATACGCTCAGAGTACTCTGCAGAAACTGTGCAGAGATTGTTTATATTAGTACTTTAGACTGCTGAAGTACTCATGTGAAAAGTCTTCAACTTCACTTAACCAAAAATAAATGCAAATACTGCCCCTGCTGGTAAGTAAAGTGTTACAAACGTGAGTGTCAGATACTTTTGCAATGCAAAATTTGAGGCTGCCATGAACTAGGAGTGATGTTTGCTTACATTCTTTGTCTCTTCCATAGCCTGAGATTTCACACTCAGTCCAGCTGGGCAGCACCAGCCCAGGTTCAGGCAGACACACTGGAAGAACCTCTGGAGAGTTTATAGCACAGATGCCAATGTCTGTCTGTAGCTTCAGGAGAGCTGCAAGTGGAAAGTGATCAGAGTTAAGTCAGAGCAATGCACTGAGAAAATGTGCCATGAAAACTCAAGGATAATTTAAAGGTTTAACAAGAGCTTGCTGCCCAGCTATGGTTCAGTATAAGCAATGCTGGGGGAAAATTGTCTCAATCGATTTTCATGATTCAGCCAAAAGTCTGTTTCAAAATGCTATGTTTCTTGGTTTATGAAGCTCTGACATTTTGATGATACAAAGTTTTCAGTAACAACAGTGATTTATGTACAGACGGGCGACAAATTAAAGGAAAACTGAGTAATGAGTAGTCTCTTCCAGAATTTCAGTGCCCCCCTCCACAGGTCACGAGGGGGCACTGAATGGTTTGATGACTATAATAATGATGTGAGTCATATGCTGTGGCCTTCACAGTCACCAGATCTCCACCCAGTTGGACACCAATGGGAGATTTTGGTGTGACGTGTTAGACATCGCCTCCACCACCGTGATCAAAACTCTAAATGAGGGAATATCTTATTGGAAGGCTGCTGTTTATCCCTCCAGTAGAGCCCAGAGACTTGTAAAATCAGCACCAAGGTGCTCTGAAGCTGTTTTGGTGGCACGATGTGACCTAACACCTTATTAAGACACCTTTCATTTGCCATCTGTCTGTATATAGAAAAGAAAGACAAATTATATGATTATTGCCTCTTGAAGTGATCACTCACCAATGTCATTGTCAAATGATTCATTGTCAAATTCCTCGTGGATCCAGTACTTCTCAACCCTAAAAATCTGCTCACTATTGGAATTCTGTTTCCGAAATGTTCTTCCCAATATCACTTCCAGTTTTCCTGCTGTATCACTGTAAAAGATAAGGAATGTGTTTGTATGTTGCACGATAATCATGTTAAATTATGAGGGATTTGTGCAAGTGTGAAGGATGTGAATCATTCCTACGTCTTTTCGAAGCAGTGTGCAGCAGACAGGACCCAGCAGGTTTTTTCCGCATGGGTAAAAGTGTTGCTTGGCACTGACCTGGTAAACATTAATGGCGGCCTGCCATGGCTGCTCTGTGATATCACTCTCCCTGCCTCCATATATGCGGAATGCCGGGCGATTCAGGGAGTTATCTAAACGCTGGCCACATGTCGCTACAAAGAGGACAAGTTGCAGGATGAAGGAATTAATAACTACAATTACTACAGTGCAGACCTAACATATCAGAGGAAATGAACTCCGTGTAATTTTCACTGGATGTGAAGGTGTACTACCTCTGTTATTGTTGTTAGCGGTGGGGGCACGAGGACCGAGAGTGGTGATGATAGATGGACGTCTCGCTAGAAAAGAAGCACAGAAAATTTTTGGTTCCTGCACTCCTAACTGGTAGCTGACTTCTAGCATTACTCTAGATCATCTTACTTCAGTGCTTTAATATTACGGCAAAATGAAACCATGAATATAATTGAACTCACAGCATTTAGGTATGTTACACAGCTCCCAGGTCAGCTGCATGTTCTTGTAGGTGTGACACCATGGGCCTGCATCCTCATCTGGGTTCCTGTTGGGTAAAGGATTGGGAAATGCAATAAAAACACAAGTTATCCTGATCTTTCTACATACAAGGAGACCCTGTCATGTGGCGTCTCTACCTGCAGAAGCTGTGGCTGCCCAGCCCCAATTCCAGTGCATCAGATTTCCAAGCATTGTTGAACTTGTGCTTGATAGCAGGAGAGTCCCACGGGAGACAGCGAGAGCCACTCTTAGTGACAGATGTTGTGCCTCTGTATGACCGCCCAGAGCCCAGAACACATTGTTGGTACTTGTCTGCACCAAAACACACACAGAGAAACCAAGCATTTAACCAATTAGGTCTTTAATTTTTAGTAATTGAACTTTCTATATATTAGGTTTTTGTGAAACTGTACCTTCTGGACATTTGGGTATGGAACAAAAATCCCATACAATCTGAATGCCTTTATAGATGAAACACCAAGGAATGCTGTCATTGTCAGGGTTCCTGACAGGAAAAGGAAGGACAGTGAGTATGTACAGTACAGTATGTTCATGGGTCACATAGTGTACATGAAAAAAAAAGTTGCAAACCAAACCCTATTCTATTCTTTACCAGCTTATTCATGGTGTTTGAGCCTTTTTTCTTCATCTGTCCTCTAGACTTGACCTTTAGCTGTTACCTGATGTCTGTCTGCCTTTTTGACCCTGTATATTTTGCTTTTAACCTACCTGTCTTGTCCAGTATGTTATGGATGATCAGAACCAGTCTGTGATTTAGGACACCATGAATATTTACAGGTCATTCCTACAGATGCTCCTGCACTAAACAAATTATACCAACTGTACCTGCAAAAGTTGTGATTGCCCAGTCCAAGGCTGCTGGCATCCGCTTTTCTAGCTGTGAACTTCCGTCCTCTCAGATTTGTAGAGTTCCAGTTGATACACTCAGCTCCTGAATGGCTGGTACTCCATGTGCCACGGTACCCTTCACCCTGCCCCACAATACACTTCTCACTGGTGTCTGATTGAGAAAAACAGTGAAACTCATCATAGTGTCACCTATTTATATATGAGATATCACTCTAATAACTGACCTAATTCATTTATTGTGATACAATAAATCATGACCTGGAAATACTTAATCCTAATGGCATTTATATAGGAGCTTTCAAATTAGTGGTTTAAAACAGTGACCAAACATAAACTATGATGACTGCAATTATTGAGTCTGGCCATCATAACTCATTACCTTATCACTGAAATCACCTGGCTGTGACCGCTGGGATTTGTCCCTAAAGCCTTCTACAAATCACCCACAGAAACAAAAATATTTTCCTGATCTTTTCTCCTTACACCCCTGTATGAGTCACCCAGACTGTGACCTTAATGAAAGTGAATAACAAGGGGCAGAGCATGTTAAATTAGTGTTGTGTCACTGGCCACAATGTTATGGACATGGGTGAGTTGACTGTTGCTTTAAACTTAAACATATGGTAACACTAGACAGAGGAATAGCCAGGCTGTAGTTGTTGCAGCTTCTCTATTGTGAAACTTTGCTGATTGTCTCTGTTTTGTATAGTTCTTAACTGAATAAGTGGATTTTGGACTGTTGGAAAATGATAATGTTCAGATTTCACAATTTTCTCATCTTTTGTAGAAAATGTTTCATTGATGAATCTAAAAAAACTGGCAGGTAATGATAAAGAAAACAAGATAAGCTTAGATTACAGTTTGTTGTGTACTTACTGATCTCACACTGGGTCCCACTGAAGCCTGCAGGACACTGGCAGATGTACTCTGAACTGTACACAGCCTCTTTACAGGTTCCTCCATTATAGCAGCGAGACATGAAGCAGTCTGGAAGAATCAGACAGAACCTGTTGGTCAGTGACATGTCATCTAGTTCTTCGCACAAAAACAGTTTGAATAATCGGAATATATTTGATTGTCTATGACCACTTGCAAGAATTACATTTGTGGGTTTGGAATGTAACATCTGACCTAGAAACAAAACCCGTGTGCATGGTTTTTCCTGACTACCCTCTTATATACTAGCTTACTTATATGCTTCATAGGTTTACTTTTAAAAACTCACATCTTGCCAGGGATTTCTTTCTAGAGCAGAACAGGTTATATGCCATCACCATTTTGGTTTGTCATTTATTTTTTTCTACATTTCCTAAAGGCTGGTGTTTGGAACAACAGCACACCACTCATTCGCATGAGCTCATAGATGGTGCAGGCTGGCAGACTAAAAATGTGCTCATAATCTGTCTGAGGGCAGTGAAATCACGCTCCACAGAATTCGTCAATGGGGGTGAACGTGCGCACGAGGGCTGGTCTGGCAAGAGTATTTCAGACTAAACTACACCCACTCAAAAACACAGCTCTTCATTTGAATGCACTGAAGCGGCTGAGATTTGGACACATGAGTGAGGAAAGCCAAAAAATAATAATAATAATAATTATCTGAGGTTTTAACACTAACTTTGAGGTAAAGTGAAGTTGTAATGAAAGCCAGAGGGGTCAGTAAGGGCAAGCGAGACTGGCAGACAATATACAGAAGATTATATTGTGGTCATTGCAAACAAAATTCAAATTATAAAGCGATGACAATGTAAGACAAGTAAGCCAGCCTGTCCACATGTGTTTGTGTGTCTATGCATCCATGTCACACTCACTAGTGACGGGCACACTATGACAAAGCTCTTGTCCTCTTGCACAACGGCAGTACTCCACACGCCTTCCCCTCCATCGCAGCCAAGTGGCTCCTTGACTACGCACTGCTCGTGTCTCACTATCCACACAATGTGCTGAGAAAACACACACGCAAACAAATTCTAAGTATACAGCCAGTCAAATAGTAAGACACAGAAAACCTAGTCACTGTCACATGCAACAGCAGTTACAAACACGAGGAGAGAAACACATGACACAGAGAATTTAAAGAATCTTAGGTTGATGGAGATGGTGATGGTGTTATTAGAGAAGAAAACATGTGGTGAGCTCACAGAAGGTGTCAAAGGAAGGTGAAGACTTCTGGACATGAATACTCAAACGTGGCCGTCTAGCTGGCTGCCTGTCAGGCTCACCTCTATAAAAACGAGTTCCTCTCTTAGTGCGGAACAGCTCCACCTGCAATAGAAAAGCTATGTTAAACACAGAGGAGCCATGCACAGGAACCGGTTCCAGCCCAGACAGCCAGTGGTTTTATTTAATTTCTTTAGGGTACTGTGAAAATAAACTTGCAGAGCTTTCAAATATGCTTCACATGCGGTCAGAAATCTTTTCCAATCAACATTTAACTGACTTTACATTTTAGACAAACATTACTTGTTGGTACATAGAGTACAGTGGTGTTCCAAAAGACATGAGAGAATGACAGAAGGACAATGAGTGTATGAGCTATACTGCTTCAAAATCAAAGCTTTAAAGGAAAAAGTGAATGAATATTTATTTTGCTAAAACATTATTGAATGTAGCTGTTCAGCCACTGACTCTTAAATCTCAGATGTTGATGTTTCAAGCAAGCACTTGAGGGCACAACCACAGAGGCATTTTCAAACAAGTCAATGTGCAAACTTGTGTTGCCACACAACAAAAACACACATGCAAAAATATTAAACTGGCTAAGTGTTTGCACAGAAGAATTATAAATCACAACAAATGAACTGTATTAAGATACAGTGTGCATGCATAAGCACTTGATGGTCCTCGTGTGACAATGATGTAGTACGTACATTGTCCACTAGGCAGCAGCAGAGAGCAGAAAGGAGAATTAAAGGTCCAAGTGATCTGGTCATGACTACTCAAGTGGTCTTCAGCTGAAGTGGTCTTCAGTTTGCTGGAAATAGAATATAATTACATATGAGAAACAGCTGAGGGAAGATTTACAAGCTATTTTACTTTAGATGGACTCAGTTTAGCACTGATACCTTCAGAAGCTGTGGTGGAAACAAGAAAGACAAAGGCCAGAATCATAACAATCATAAATACATAAGCACATCTTTCTTGTGTATTTCTTTTGGAAAATATGTTCATTGCATCCAATGCACACACACGCAAAACAAAAAAGATTTGCAACAGTATACAGTGAGGTGAGTGACTGAAACATCCAAGGAGGGATGTCATTGTGTCTGTCTTTGTAAATCTTTTGTTATGAGTCTGTCATCAATACTGTACCAACAATAGTAGGAAAATGACCAAGACTGGTCACCTTCTCTCAGCTGTACTGTTTCCCTGTCCACCTTCCTTCCCTCATCCCTTCCCCTCCCTGTGTAAACTTCCTTTCCTTTGGGGTGAAATAGGAAAGGGTGTGATCTGTGGGAAACTGGAGGTCATTTCTAGGTTCCTGAAGTTAAGTTAACTTGACTGTACTGCTCAGACAGGAAGTTTTAATAGCCTGAGCAGTACAGTCTGATAGGAGACAAGTTGTGCTGTCGTTAAACCGCGGTATGTTTTTATGGGTTTTTTTTTGTCACATTCCTCCTATGATCCCATTTCTTCACTTTATTTACATTCAGATAA